ATCTGGATTGCATTTTCTTTTTTATTTCAGTTAATAAAACATGCGCTTTGCATGCAACAACAATTAAACAAATTTAATGTTTATATTTCTATTTTAATATGACTATAGCTTAAAATGAGCGCAGCTTACCGGTAATTCTTAATAATTCTTAGAAATAAATTGCAAATGCAAAATATCTAAATGGTCTATGGGATCAATGAGTTATGTTTTCTTCTGTTAGCTCATATCCTCATCAATAACTGATTTAGTGGTATGTTTTAGTGTAGGGCTCATAACAGGGGTCAGAACCAGTTCTATAGGGGCATTGGCCCTTGTTGTCTTTTGTTTATAACCACCCCATATTTTACAGACTTTCTTCTTATACTTACTCTACTACTGTAAGTTTTTTGCTTGAATTTACAGAGATCTGCCAAGCAACTGGCCAGAGATAGGATTTACTAAAGAAGGTTTTGTTTGGTGGAATCAAATAGCCCTCAAAAAGAAAAAAAAATCTTGTAAATTGTAAGTGTAAGTGTAAGTGTATCAAAAAGAAAATAACATGTACCCAGATTAACTTTTCCTATTTAAGAAAAGAAATGTTGGCTCGTATATAAATGTGACAATCATGCAATTCCTTCATTTACCGTACATTTAAAAAAAATGCAGTCTTTTTTAAACATGCATTGCAGTTTAGCATGATTTCTTTATATTTCTTTAAAGGTCATAGGTGCAACATTTTTCGAGATGTTTTGGTCTCCTGCATAGCGATGGGGATTGAAATGATAGCGGGAGGGATTCAACTATATCGCTGCGTTGTAGGTTTTTGAGAGCTGGAACCTGAGACCACCCCTTCTGTTTAAGGTTGTTTTTTTTTCCTCTTAACATAAATGGCTTCCTTCACACTTCTTTCAAACCATGCGTCTTCTTTTTCCAAAATGTGAACATTCTGGTCCTCAAACAAGTGTTTCCACTTTATAAGCCTGTAGTTCAACGCTACTCTACACATTTTGAATTGAGAAAGCTTTCTGGATTTCTTCAGACTTAGAAAACAAAGTCCAGTGATTTGTTTTTTTAACCTTTTTTTGGGGGGGCGGGGTGAGTATGACCTGGATGACTGAGAATCTTCATCAGCATGATATAACTTTATTATTGGGGGTGGGGGATACAGTGCCTTGACTACCTGCATCCTCACTTCTTCACAAACAGTGCTGCGATTAGTATGCTTTCCCCACAGAAGAACTGTAACATTAAACATAGCTGAATCCTTATAGATGCACTAACAACATCTATAGGAGACAGATCAGAGTGAGTGCTGGACAAAAGCTCGTAGAGAGGCCTTTGAAACTCCTTATCTTGTTTCAACAGTTAAAGCTTATTTGGCTGTTCCACATTACAAAACATACAAACCAGAGCTGATTGCCCCTTCGATTGATGCTTAAAAAACTATTGAGGCTAAAATTGAGGCATTAAAAAAAAAAAGAGAAATAGTGGAACAAATATGTTGCTACATGTAGGTGTGTATATTATTAAATAACAGGTGCTGTGGTTTGGCCTCCAAGTACATTTGGCTCTGGTTTATGTGATGTGTTTGCAACAGGACAGTGGTTCCTGAAGTGCAGAGGGAGCAAATGCATGATCCACTTTAGAGCTGACATAGATTCTGAAAGCTGTCACTAATGCCTTATCTCTTTTCTCCATTGTGTCTACACAACCCTTCAGCAGGGGAATTGGATGATCTCTGCAAAGCTACCTACTTCCTTAAGTTGTTTGCAGAGAAGTGGCGCCACCTCCGCTGTCACTTGGTTATTACATCAAAGAGCTGCTTCTCAGCCACAGGAGCTGTGAGCTGTCTGTGAGGCAGCTATACTCTGTCATGAGCTGCATGCTGATGATCTAACAAACCGCGGTGGGCTGAACTTGGTGTGAGTCTGAGAGCTGAGCTCATCCTTTTGTCTCAGAGATCCCAAGCATACATTTGACATGATAATCAGGCTCAGTCCTAACTATATCTGACTGTGTTTACTCTGGAATTACAGCCTGGTTCTCTGAGAGATCCCTGTGTAATTGTCAGGAAATGGTTTTATGTTTTAATGACAGATATTAGTATCGCTTCACAGATGCTTTCATATATCCTAAAACTTGAGAATTATACGTTTTAATAAACTTGCATCTTCTCTCTTTACATGTAGGGATTAATTTCATATATATATATAGTCACATCCCTTGTGTTTTACATCCTGGAGGCTAAGAGATAAAGATTATCTTTACATCATCTTTATCTTTACAGGTATAGAGTACATTAGTAGATTTCTAACATGTTTACTATATGCTTGAAAATCACATAACCACTAAAAATTGAAACATTAATCAGCTTCCTTTTTAAATACATCATCTAAAAGCAAGGCTTGTCTTTTGTAGCAAAAATTAACATTTCATGTTTAAATCAAATGTTAAGTCTTAAGTTTTATCAACATTAGTCTGGATTGTCTGTTCACAAATGTAAAATGCAGCTTCCTACCTTAGTAAATTCAATTAATTAACAAAGAGCACCATAATGTTAGAATGTTCAATCATTTTAACGAGGCATGAGATGTTCTTGCTTGGCTACTTCAATCAAAACTCCTTCGTTGCATAAGGTTGATTTACTGATTTGTCTGAAATATTTCAGCTGCTAACATCACAACCCCAAAGGCAACACCACAAACAATCTAGAATAAAAGGAACTTTTCATTTCCAGCTTTCAAGGGCCTAGCTTTGCTAACTTAATCACCCCACTAAGACATAAAGTCACACCAATGACTGCCTATAGAACCAATGACTGACTAACAGATTAGCTTTTTGTCATTATATGACACACAAGTTGAAGTTAAAGACTGAAATAACTCAATATTCTGATCTTCCTTCTCAGATATCTGGCATTTCTGAATGGTCAAAAATGAACTGTTGCTTTGCTGATAAATGCTAAGTGTTCACAAAACTTTGGCAAGTGTTTTGCAATGTACAATGTTGCACCCAAATAAAGATAAATTCATCATACATTAAGCAAAAAAGATGGAATATTTTCCATTTGGATTATTTTTAGCATGGAATGATTTTTGTTCCATTGATGTTGAAAGCAAGCAAAATGTTTGGTAAATGAAAAAAAAAAAATAAAATCCAGAAAAGAAACTTTAATAAAAAAAATTTCATTAAAAAAAGGTTTTGAGAGTATCTTTGCCATGATCTCTGTTTTTTTTTTTTTTTTATCATATCACATATCGGATGTGTCCCTGTTGCAACACAGCTGCTTTACATCCACAGTGTGCAGAAGCCTTGACGGAGAGCTGTTTTAAGAAAGGTAAAACAAGAAATTTGTGAAGTAACTTTGGACACCACTACTAATGGACAACACAACTGCTTTATACTTTTAAAAATGGAGTCCTTAACCCATCTCCCCTTTAGTTTTCAGTTGGTTTAGACACTGGAGTTTCAGCAGCCTGATAATTCCAAACAGACATTAAAGATATTATTTCCTATAAACCAGAGGTCTTCAACAGGGGGTCCGCGACCCCTAGGGGGTCCGCGGAGGTACTGCATGGGGGTCGCGAAAGTCTTGGTTGATTACTTTTTTTAATATTCCCTCCTGCAATTTTTTGCACTAATTAAAATGTCTTTAAATACACATTACCATGAATTCAGCACACTGTAGTAAACAGATAAATGAAAGCAGAAGATGTCTTTCAGT